GTAAAAAGGAGGGTCACTACGGATCCGAATGTAAAATATTTAAGGAAGCAGATATCAACAAAAGATGGGAACTCGCAAAGCAAAATAATTTATGTTTCCGCTGTTTACGTTATAGAAATCAGATACACAAATGCAAAACCAATAAGTGTGGGATAGAAGGATGCACCGCGACACACAATCGACTTCTCCATAACAATACAAAGGAGAAGACTGAGGTCAAACAAAAAGAACCTCAAGAAACCGTAGCTAACTCATTCGCTGTGTCAAAGCATCAAGCCTATTTAAAAATAATTCCAGTGCGAGTAATTGGACCGGCGGGAGCTGTAAACACACACGCCCTGCTGGATGATGGGTCCACAGTTTCACTAATGGATGAAGAGATTGCCAAACAAATTGGAGCTACAGGGTAGTTGGACCCGTTCAACGTTACGTTTTTACACGTAACGTACGTTTTTGGAGAAGCTGTTCCCGATCCAGCAAGGTTTTCGAGATGGGAACGCTTATTGCGAGCTACGTGAGTGTTACAATTTATAACACTCTGTCGCATAACCACAGACAGGACCTTCTATAAAAGAACCAAAAAGGACAAAGAGGAAGATCCCGACTGGAGGAAATCGAAAAATAATCCGCGACAAATCGCGCAGCCTCCCAGTTAAGTGAAAAATAAAGATGTCCAAAGGTATATCACACTAGAGGCCGAATTCATCAGAGAGGCCGAAAAGCTTCTGATACGTGCCATACAAGAGGGCTCCTTCTCACAAGAGATAACCGATCTCCCTAATAATAAAAAGGTCGCTCATGATAGCCGCCTACGACCGCTCCAAATAGAATTGAAAGACGGGATCATCGCGCTACGAAGTCGCATAGCCGCCGTGAAGGGAGTCACAGAAGACATGAAGGGGCCAGATATATTGGATGGTGATCATTACATCACGCAATTATACATTGACTGGACGCATCGTAGCCTGCATCATTGCGGAACCGAACCTACCATCAACGAGGTTCGACAGCACTACTGGGTATTCCGACTTCGACCCACTACGAAAAAGATAGTGAGCCAATGCATACAGTGTCGCATCAGAAAAGCACAACCATCAGTGCCAGCGACCGGTGACCATCCCAGTACACGTCTCGCTCATCACCAGAGACCGTTCACCTTCACCGGTCTGGACTATTTTGGCCCACTTTCCGTCACTGTGGGACGTCAACATCAGAAGAGATACGTAGCTCTCTTCACCTGCCTCACATCCAGAGCTGTCCACTTAGAAGTTGTCGCAAACCTCAGCGCTGACTCCGCAATACTGGCATTAAGAAGATTCGCAGCTCGCCGAGGGTGCCCCACCGAGATTTACTCCGACAATGGCACCAACATGCACGGCGCAGACAAGGAACTTCGGGAGGCTTTTCGAGAAGAAGCCAGTCGACGAGGCATAGTGTGGCGTTTTATAACCCCATTTCCTCCATAATCCTATTTCATGGGAGGAGTGTGGGAACGTCTCATACGGTGCGTGAAGACGGCACTATACACCGTCATTCATGAGAGACATCCGCATGAGGAAGTATTAGCCACGCTGCTCTGCGAGGTGGAGTACACAGTAAATAGCAGACCATTGACTCACATCTCTGTAGACAGCGACGACTACGAATCCATCACTCCAAATCACTTCCTTTTAGGAGGATCTGCGAGACTACCGACACCTGGAGTATTTGATGAAAAGGATATGAATAGCAAAAGACACTGGCGACGCTCCCAGATACTCGCTGACATGTTCTGGCAGCGTTGGGTCTGAAAGTACCCACCGGAACCTATAGGTGTAGGACGTGAGCGACTCGCGAAGTATCTTCGACAACATTTACTCCGGAGAGTTTCGCCCGTCCGGCACATTTAATGAAGTTGTTTATTAATGTTTTTTATAAATACTCACATGTAAACAAAAATATAGTATACAATACTGATATATAATCATCATTACATGATTGTCAATTCACTTGATATAATACACCAGCAATAATATTTGATCGATTAATTGATTATTGGCATTATTAATGAAAATGGAATATATCAATCTATACGTTTATTTGTTAAGTTGCCAAATATTTTTAACTGTAACACACCTTCCATGTTAATGAGAAATATTACTGTATACAGTGCGTGTACCATGGAAGGCCACTCTAACGAATAAACAGTTACTATTCGTTTATTTACTGGAGAAATGAAACGAACAAATATTTAAGTAATACTTTGTTTTATTACGTAACATATAAACCACTTTTTTAAATGGCAGATTTAATCAAAATTGATTGAACTTAAGTTTCATTGAACTCTTCCAAATGACCTTGCTAGGAACAAGTCTTCTTAGAAGGCCATTATAATAAATCAGTTATTTAACACTAAAGTTTAATAAATAGCGATTAAATCTACAATAAAAAGAAGTGGTTTATATTTTACGTAATAAAACAAAGTATTACTTAAATATTTGTTAGTTTCATTTATCCAGTATATAAACTTTAACTGTTTATTTGTTAGAATGACCTTCCATGGTAAACCCACCTTATTTTAACGTCGTCGATTCCCGAAATCAATGAAGCGAGGAATCGTACTGCCAAAATAGTAGCGCTAGCGATTAATAAATAAAAGCCCAACCAGATGGAAGCCCTCTGCAGGGGAGACCAAACGGCCGAGAGTTAGGGGGAAAGGAAAAAAGCCTGCGGACTATGCGGGCGGTATTGACGAGCACCACCTTCTGCATTTGAGTCCGGAGCGGTCCGTCACGGCGTCCCAGTCGCCTCAGATGACCCGCGAGGCTAACTGAGATTAGCCCATTCGCAGAGACGACTACAGGAATAATTTCGGTCGGCAGACCACCCCAAATGTCGGTGACCTCATGAGCCAGGTCCAGATATTTTGTTTTCTTATCTGATTCGGCTTTCACTAGGTTCTTGTCATATGGAATGGTAATGACCAAAATATCCTTGACTTTGCCCGATCCATCAGCACAATATCAGGTTTATTCGCAAGAATAGTCCTGTCTGTGATGATGGCTCGGTCCAGTAGAGCCAAGCGCGGTCAATTTCGAGCACGGCTTCCGTCAAGTACTTATAATAAGGCAGTTTCCGATCCACGAGACCGTATTTCAGAGCAAGCTCCTGGTGTAGAATCCTGGCGACTAGGGCAAGTACACAAAGTTAGAAAGCACCGAACAACCGGAGATGACATGCCTAAGTGACTCACTGGGATGGCGACAAGCTCGACAGACGTCGATAGTGCCCTCCTTCAGAATGTATCTCCGATAGTTCTTGGTCTTAAGAGGATACCTTGAAAATGAATTGTAGTAGTTAGGGGCGTGGCTTATTCTTTTGTCGGTGAAGCTCACGGCCGACTGAGGGAGTGTTAAAATGAAAGTGATGCAATGTTGAAATAATACTAGTTTTTACGGAATTTATCGCGTATATTTAACTTTTTAAATACCCGACGTTTCGAACGCTTTACAGCACTCATGGTCACGGGCGGGACTGAGATGTTCAACGTCCATATGTCATAGTTAACCGCGGTTACTATAGATTAAAATTTAACTTTTGTTCCGATCTACGAAACGTCGGGTATTTAAAAAGTTAAATATACGCGATAAATTCCGTAAAAACTAGTATTATTTCAATGTGTAGTGTTGGCGTAAATATAAGAAATCGTGATGCAATGTGTTCATAATACGCAAATTATGATATAGCTATACCGAGCACACGCTCGGAAAAAAACTAAGTAAGCGCCAAATAACATTTTTATTTTTTTAATAAAACTATGTTATGTATTAAAAAAAATGTTTATGCGCACTTAGATATGATTATTTACTATGGCTTAAAAATAATTCCATGAACTTATTCGTAAAATTATTGTGGTGTCATGGAAAAACGTAACTAATTAGAGCCTACTTTGGAATTTTTTTCTGTCGAGAAAATTTCATGATATCGTGTTTTTCTTTTATGCAATCCAAGGTCATATAGTCAAAAATCATATACCAAAATTTTGGTTTGTAATCTATAAAACTTTAAAAAATATGTGTAATAGAAAAACCACCAAATTTTTGAGGTATCACTTTAATAACCTGAACCTGTATTACACAGACAAAACCTTCGGTTTCCTCCAAGATTATAATTATTATTCATTAATAAATAAATTATAAATTATGTTTTTATAATTTAAATTATTATAAATATTATAAATTATTACAAATATAAATTATGAATTATTATTAATTTTTTTAATAATATTTCACCATTCTATAATATTTCTTTTGTCAATAATTAAAAAAAATTACTTCGCAGATACTATGTACTTACCGACGGCAGCACGGCTAAAAATTCTACTAATTTTCAGGGACAGGCGGGCTATGTTTTAGCACGCATAGCGATCGTTCTCCTGTTCTCTAACCTCCATGTTATTGACCATGGACTGACAGAACTGGTCGGCCACATACGGAATCCCGTTTTGATCGCAAAATTTCAAACGGAAAACTAACGTAGGTGTGTGACAAGTCATTGTCATGTTACTTGTTACAGATTTTTCATTTTCATATTTATTTTTCTATGCATACATACCATAGTTGTTATTATACTTGTTACTTAAACGCACAGACTATTATGATGCTTACGCATCTTAAAGGCTAGAACCCAGAGCCATAAAGCTAATTTAAATAAAAAAAATTATTAAAAATAAAAAGCACAGACTACTAAGAATAAAAAGCATAGATTACTAACTATATACTAGAGAATAAAAAGTCAAGGACGCAAGGACAACTGGAGAATGTTTACTTTTAATTTATAGTTTACAAATTAAGTATACATAATTTACATTTAAGTATTACACAGTGAGTAATGATTAATATATTATTGAGAGTAATATATTCCTTTACTGCGATCAATAACATTAAAGAACCATTCATATGTTAATTATATTGAAAACTCTAGTGAAATTAAAACAAACAACTTTTCCAACCTTCTCGAAAATGGCTAAAAGTTCTTTTGAATATGTGAAAACCTTTGAGCTCAGCGATACTTTATTACCTAACACATGGATAGTCGTGAGACTTGACGGAAAATGTTTTCATAAATTTTCCGAGGATCACAATTTTACAAAGCCAAATGATGTAAGAGCGTTGAAGTTAATGAATTACGCTGCTTTTACTGTTTTTCGTGAATTTAATGATTTATTAATGGCGTTTGGCCAAAGTGATGAATACTCTTTTGTTTTTAAAAAACACTGTACTGTATACAAAAGGCGCGCTGCAAAACTTGTGTCTACAATCACTAGCAAATTTTCTGCATCGTACGTATTTTATTGGAGCAAATTCTTCGGAGAAGAACAATTAAAATATCCTCCTTCATTTGATGGCCGTATTGTACTATACCCAAGTGAAGAAAATTTAATTGATTACATGAAATGGCGGCAAGCAGATGTACATATAAATAATTTATATAATACAACATTTTGGACTCTTGTTAAAGAGGGAAAGCTTAGCCCTGCACAGGTAACATTTCAGTTTAAAAATATGTTCAATAAAAATAAACTGTCAGAGTTTTAACATAATGTGATTTTTACAGGCAGAAAAAAGGTTGTGTGGTACAGTTTCTGGAGATAAAAATGAAATATTATTTAAAGAGTTTAATATTAATTATAATGATGAACCAGAAATATTTAAAAGGGGAACACTTCTACTAAAAAAGCATATAAATATGAACGAGTCATACAAATGTGTCTCTGTAATAGTTGATGTTCATGATGATATGCTTAAAGAAAAGTTTTGGACATATCACAAAGATTTACTTTTTATGAAATCAAAGCAAAACTTTATTTATGATGGACCAATAACAGAAATCATTAGTGAACAATTGCAAGAAAAATACATAAGTAAATCAGATATTAATAATAGTTTATGATTGTTGTTGTATGATTAGTTTATGATTGATAAAAAACTGAACCAATTAAAAATCTACACTAATTATTTCACTTATGATTAATCATCTCTGAATGCAATCATAAGATTCAGCTGAAATAAATACTACCACAAATCCTACTACAATTATTATTGTCACACTAAATAGCACAATCATCATCTAAAACTTTGACATTGTACAAAGGTTCATAATGCAATTTTTTGACTCCCAACAAGGAATTTTATGAATAGACTGTGATGAGCAATATAGACATTTTTGGGTGGACACATTTAATTACATACTAATTATTTGTTGAATAGCTTAGCTGCCAATACTATATAACATGTAATGGTTACAAAATGAGCTCAGAAATCTTATGCCATCACACTTACACACCACAGTGTATTTAATCAAATCATGTTAATAATGCTCCTCATAAATATAGCAACTTGTAAATATTACTTTTTAATTATTACTTGCTGTTAATAGCAACCAATCACAATGCCATGCATCATATAAATTTATTACACCTGTATTACACCTCTCTACCTACAATTCTCTACTTATTCTTAAAAATCCTTTGCTGCTATCTGATAGGGAGTAGATACTATATCTTTTAGAGGTAAATAAATTTAATGATGCTCATCAATAATAAATTAGTGCATTATGACAAGACTGTATACCACACAAATCTATCAATTATTAATTGATAATCCATTACAACATGGCTGCATAATGCAGCAGTGTCAGGGAAATTGCAGCTCGTGCAACAAAGTCCATTATATGTGCCCGCAACAAAATCTCGGAGTGAGATCCCACCTTATGCAGCATTCACCTTCAAATTCGGTATCTGATAGTCAGCAATTAGTCTTATTTAGTAAATCTTGGAGTAGGAATCACATTTATACCAACCAACGTTACTCGCATTTTCAAGGGAAAAGGCTCAGGTCCTAAAGAATTGATATTGAGTCAAATATGTATTGTCTTTTTTACTAAATGTCACCAGTTCTTCTCTAAATTTACATTATAGAATTCAGAATATTGTTGGACACAATTCTAGCTTCATTTAAGTTTAAGCAAACATCACATTTAAAATTTAAGTATTTATTACAGTTTAACCTAAAATAGTTACAATTACAGAAAACTTATTAAAAGTGGTTATAAAAGCTTTAAGCAATTCTAAGGAAAATATAAATTATAATTTGTTTAATTTACAAGAAATTTTTTAACTTCTTCAGGTGTTCTACGTACAACTTCTTGAGGATTATCATAACCATTATTTAGGTCATTTATAGCTTCATATAATTGTTCATAAATGGCAAAAATGACTTCAAAAGCTCTTTTTTTAACAACAGTCTTATGATTGTGACTTATAAGCAAATTAAGCTGAGGTAAAATATACGCATCTGGTGTCACTAAAAACATATCAAACTTATTTAAAAAGGCTTTTAGTGTGGCTGTGTCCATGCCAGGTATAGCAGATAGAGGACCATTAATCTTTTCTTGCAAAATTGTATATATGGGTCCCATGTTTAAATTAGCAACAAGAAAACTAGCTTGTTCAGATGTTAAGGTATCAATTTGCGCCTCAGATTGTGCTTGCAATCTTTCATTATATTCATCCAAAATTGTATACAAAGACAAAGTACATTGTATGTGATAAATACAATTCAACATATAAACAGACATGTCAGTAGAGCTGAGATGACAAGCAGTTTCATTAATAGCATGTAGCAATGGGTCTAAAATATGGGTAATTATAATTTTTTTGTCATCTGAATTAATATTGCTTGATGAACCCATTAAATCTCTCAAAAAGCTGATTAAATTTGTCACAACTATAGATGGATTTAAGTCCAAAGGAGGAGCTTTCACACCATGACTTAATTCTTTTTGCACTTTATGATCCAGGGCAATAAGAAACATGTCTTGACTTTTTTTTGCCAACTCATCCAAAGTTTCAACCATATGACCCTTGGCTGTTATTGATTCTATGTTATTCTTGTAGTAAATAATTAAACTAGTTATTGACCATAGCACCAGTGAATCTTTATCTGGTGTTAATATAACTTCTGCTCTGACTTTAAGCAAGGGACATAATGCTTCTATAATATTAATCAATGCAGTTGTTATTTTTTCTTCTTTATCAGACATTGTACAGTATTTAAATATATTTGCAAGATTATCTTTTTCTACAGGTATTATTTGGTATACCCATGCTAATATATCTCCAATATACCGTTTAGCATCATTAGCATAGAATTCTATAGGTTTAGAACCATTATCACTACCTTTGGTGAGAATATCAATAAATAATTGTACGACAGTTGCTTTACGTGCAGAACAATACTCATCAATTATATTTGAAAAGAGAACTTGCCTATTTTCAAACTTACTTAATGATTTTGGGATTAATGCATTATTTGGTGAATCAACAAGAAGACACGCTCCAATAGTCCAGTGGTATAACTTTTCAATTGCCACTTCTTGTTGGAGGCCTATCATTTCCATTATTTCAAAAGCTGGTGTTTGATACCAGTATTTAACAAGGATTTTACAATTTTCATATAATCGTTCGATTTGTGACAGCGTGTTAAAAAAATTTAATGTAAGAGGTGGCACATTGTAAAGAATCTTAATCTGCTCTGGCGCAATTTGAAATTCTTCAACAAATTTGTTGACCCATAAAAGCTTCTTTTTAGTTTTTTTTCTTTCTTCCTTTAATTTAGTTGTTTGTGTTATAATGTGATGAGTCTTAGTTTTGGATTCTTGGAGTCTGTTTGACATATCACATACTGCTACATCCAAAGAAGTAATGGAATTTAATAAATCCTGTAACTTCTCTTTAACTTTATTGTACTCAACGAGCACACCTTTATTGATTAATAAGTCTCGTTTTTCAATTTCGTTCACTAGAACCCTTCTTGTGTATGCTGAATTAGCTGAACATAATCCTGACACTGTATATAAAGCTTCACTGTTGTCTGATATCAGATGACTATCAAATATTTTGTTTATTTTCTGCCGAATTGGATTATTGTAAAATGAATCCATGGATTAATAAATTTTGAACCCTATTATTGAAAATAATGAATATATATAATATTATTATTAACAAATTTCACAAGCAGAAGACAGATAAATAAACGTAGTAGTAGGCATGGACCGATACCGATATTATCAAAATATATCTTATCGATAAACCTAAGTACGTAACCGTTATCACATTCAACCAAAACCAACTATTTACCTAACCAATACCCGACGTACAAAAACGAAACGCATAACGCAAATCACAAACTGTGGAACTGGAACGTGGAATGATCTGCCAACACGGCCCATGAACTAGCTAAGCTTGCTACATACTTATTTATCTATGCCATGAACCACAAACTTGCCAGATTGCCACAAAACTAACCGTCTAACCCATGGAGTATGGAGTGTAAAAGTAAGGAGTAAAAACTCCCATAGTAGAATAGTTGAAAAACTATCAATCTGTAAGCAGTAAATAACAGTTCAAAACTCTCCACAACAGCGCTGGAGTAGCTACTGGGATGAAATGAACTTAGCAGTTGTCGACGGTTTGAAGTGTGCTGCTATACTGCTCAGTAGCTCTAAAAATATAAAATAATTTTATTTAGTAAATATAACCTCGAAAAAGTCGTCTATCCCACTAATATTTTTCGGCACGTTCTTTAAAATTTAGCCCGTAACTATAGTGGCGCCACCCTTATTTAACGGTTTTCTATGGATAATTTTTAATAAACAGTCTGTGCTCCTTACTGCTACACTCCATACCATGAAATTTAGAGAACAGGAGAACGATCGCCGTAGAAAATGATGTCCCAGAAATATGGACACCATAAGTGAGGCGCTGTGATCACTAAGTTCGGTCAATAAAAGTCATTTTCAGTCTATTTTTCCGATCAGATGCTAAACCACTTGCACATCCAAGCACAATAAAATATTTCCCCATTTTTTAATGTTTCTTTTTGTCAAAAATTACAAAATTACGGAGCATGAAAATTTTTCATTAAAAATGAAATGAAAATGTGTACATTATTCAACTAACTTCATCTACTTGTTCTCATAAACAGCTAACTCCGCAGTCACTAGTCACCGACGTCAACGCCCCTATATATTCTACAACTTTCAAGGACAGGCGGGCTATGCTTTAGTACGTAGTGATCCTTCTCCTGTTCTCTAACCTTCATGCTCCATACCATGGAGGTTGGAGGACAGGAGAACGATCGCTGTAGAAAATTGTGTCTCAGACATGGAGGTCTCCCAGAAATATGGACAAAATAAGTGAGCCGCGGCGATCGCTAAGTTGTCTCAATAAAAGCGAGCTGTTGTGCGCTACTTTGAAATGATTTGAAATGAAAATATCATTCAAATAAAAAAAAAAAAAGAAAATACGAAACTATTATTATTATTATTTATTAATAATTAAATTATATATTACGTTATTATCATTTTAATTATTATAAAAAATATTATTAATAATTACTATTTATAATTATTTTATTAATATTTCACCATTTTATAATGTCAATAATTAAAAAATTACTTCGGAGATAGTGGGTACTTACCGACGTCAGCGCGGCTATAAATTCTACAAATTCTCAGGGACAGGTGGGCTATGCTTTATCACGTGGCGATCGTTCTCCTGTAATCTAACCTCCATGATCTAACTCAGTGATTCCCAAAGTGGTCTATATCGACCCCTGGGGGTCTATGACAACCTGCAAGCGTCAGCGAAAAAAAATTTGCGGGTCCACGATAGTGGATCTCAACACATACACTGATAGTACCTACTTACTTACATCATACTATCTTATAATATCAAAACATATACATTATTTATAAAAGTACCTATGAAGTAAAAAAATTATTATATATATTTATAAAATTGTGTAAGTTGTAGGATGTTGGTACTCGCTTTGTGGTCGCAATACATTTTGAACTTGTAAAAACCTGAGAGTCGCAGTCTCAGAGCTTCGCTACCTTGCACTGAATTGTTCAATTCGTCACTCTATAAATACGAATGTGGAACAAATACGTTTTACGCCCTCCTTTCTGCCAAGGAGGGTCGCGTTCGTATACGGCTTAGAGATCTCTAGTCGGATCGTTAAGCCAATTCCTAAAAGGCGGTGTTTAGTGGGTAAAAGTCTCCACATAACCACGCAGCCGGCTGCGTGATATGCTACGAGCATTCACCGCCTCCCTCCCCCGCTTTCCGGAGGGTTGCCCATATTTGCTTCGGGCGCAAAAAAAATACGTTTATTGTTTCCTGAATCTTGAAAAGGAAAGTGCTAAAAGAATATTTAAAAAAAACATAAACAGATAGTATATCACACAAATTATAGTGAGTCAGTGTTATTTTGTTTGAGAGTGCTAGAGAAAAGTAAGTACATTATTTTTTATTAAATTTTAGTTTTGTACTCGTAGTTAGCAAAGATAGATAAATTACGCCAATCATGACTTTAGTTATTAGTAGTTTAATATTCAATCATGCAAAATTACACGAGTACTCCTCAATAGTTTTTTTTTTTGAAAGTTTTAGCAATCGGTATTATAATTACACTGCAATCTCCGTAATTCGAGCTAATTGTTGCAAGAAGATGTTCGAATTATGGAATGTTTTCGGAAAAATCAAAAAATATTTTTAATATACAGCTGCTGGATTTTCTGTCTTGTTTAAATAATTTAATTTTGCCCACAGATGACTGATGCCATGTCCGAATCTAAAAAGAAATGTAGACAGTACAGTGTCGATTATTTGAAATTTGACTTCATTCCATCATTGCCAGACAAATAATTGCCTATGTGCCTTGTATGCAACAAAGTTTTAGGCAATGACGCTATGAAACCATCTAAACTGCAAGATCATCTGAGAAGATGCTACCCTGATAAAACAGAGAAAGATTCGAAATACTTTCAAACACTCAAAGATAAACTTCAGAAGAGACCTACACTGGACAGAATGTTCGCTTCGACGTCACAAAGAAATGATGATGGTTTGCGGGCGTCTTACAATATCTCGTGACTTATAGCAAAATCCGGAAAACCGCATACTATCGGAAAGAAATTAATTTTGCCAGCCGTTGAAGAGGTTTTAAAAACTGTTTTACACAAACCTGCATCTGATATCATTAAGAGAATTCCCTTAAGCAACAATACTGTTGAAAGACGTATTGATGAAATGAGTTCTGATATTGAAAGCTTCTTATGTAATTATTTGCAAACGACCCATTTCTCTATACAACTGGACGAATCAACTTTACCTGATAATGCAGCATTATTATTGGCATATGTTCGTTTTATTATGAATCAAGAAATCTACGAAGAACTGCTCTTCGCAAGAACTTTGATAACCGACACTAAAGGTGAATCAATATTTCATGTTTTGAAGGATTACTTCATTGAAAAAGCAATTCCTTTATCAAATATAATATCAGTAGCTACAGATGGAGCACCTGCCATGGGTTGGACGTTATCGTGGATTTATAAGCTATTTAAAACAAAATGTGTCAGGGGTGTTAGCAATACATTGCGTCATCCATCGACAACATTTAGTTGCTAAAAAATTGAGTGTTAGATTGCATGAATCACTTCATTTAGTCATTGATGCAGTAAACCGAATCCGAAGCAACGCGTTGAATAAGCGGTTATTTGCGCAGTTGTGTGAAGAAAATGACGAACACTTTCAGCAATTACTCCTTCACACTGAAGTACGCTGGATGTCGAAAGGCTTATGTTTGACAAGATTTTTTGCACTTTTTGAGACTATTTTAGAATTTCTGGATACTAAAGATAAAATTTTAAAAGAAAATTTAATGAAGAGGAAAACATACATCGCCTATTTAACAGATTTGTTTACAGAATACAATATGGTTAATTTGCAATTACAAGGCGACAGTTTAAATTTGATTAAAACAAAGTCCATCTTATCAGCGTTTCTTGCCAGAGTTAAACTAATGAAGCAAAATATTGGACGCGGCGAATTTTCTCAGTTCCCCAATTTGGAACAGACAAGCTGCCAGGAAGACGAAGTTTCAACTTACGTTCAACATTTAAATGCCCTCTATTCAGATATTGAATCTAGGTTTGAGGATATTTTGACTATGGTAATACTACCGTGGATAATTAATCCATATGGTGACATAGAAGAAACGAATGTCATAATACAAGAGGAACTGACTGAACTAAGTACAAACGAAGAACTTAAGGTTCAGTTTAAAAACGGATATCAACAATTCTGGCTGCAAAACAACATACCCGTTACTTATCCCGTATTATGGAATATAGCGAGGAAATTTTTAATTTCCTTTCCATCGTCATACCTAGTGGAAAGGGGGTTCAGCGCTGTTACCAATCTCCTAATGAAAAAAAGAAACAGACTGGACATCATTAGCCGAGGAGATTTAAGATTAACCCTTACAAAATTGACGCCAAATGTTGATAATTTATTATTAAAGCATCATGTTCATCCTTCTCACTAAAAATATTGACTTATTGCTTATGTTATTTTATTTATAGTTTATTTTATGTTTATTTAATATTACGTATATTTTACATAACAGATACAAAATTTTATTTTGAGTAGTTTTAATTTAAATTCAATTAATAAATTTATAAATTAACATGTGTTTTTACTTTAAGTTTTTAACACTAAACTTTACTACAGTTAGAAATTTACAGGAAATCAATATCAGGTAAGTAGGGGGTCTACCCAACACGGAAAAACATGGCAAGGGGTCTACGACACAAAAAAGTTTGGGGAA